AAAAAAATTAGCACTAATAACCAATAAAAAAATATTGTAATTCAATCTTTATTATACTAAAGCACAACGCATATGTCCAATAGTATTATACCATATATGAAAAATATTTCAATGTTAAAAAGATTAATTAATAAAAATAAAAATTAAAATGCATTATATATCAGAAAACGTTTGCAGATTTAAAAGGATATTATTCAAGTTTATTCAACTGTTCTCCCACCATAAATCTACTATCCCACAATTTTAGGAAATAAAAACTACCATGATTCCCTTATAAAACTCGATATTAGGATTCAGTTATCTCACTAATACACTTTTTTATTTGCTGCATAAATCGTCAATATTCGTTTCTATTGAAAGTGATTACTAATCTTCTTTTTCTTCATCATTTTCAGGTTTCTCATCTTTCCCAGCCTAGAAAGAGATTTTTCATTCTTCAAATCTGTTCTTTTTTCATATACCTGAGTGTCTCATCCATCATCGGTAATTTGCTATTTTATTTGTAATTTATTTTTACGAATTAAAATAGAAAAATATTGATTTTCACATCCACTTAAAACTTGAAAGCCTATAGCATTATAAACAATTGTTTGAGAACATGGTTTGTTTTATTCGATGGATTTTTTTTTTTTTTTAAATTATGCATCTTCTTTACTTCCCTGTTAGAGATTGAAAAAGCTAACAATTTATCCAATCTTTTATACAACTGATATAATAAGTTCATTATATAGTGAAATTATATTCTTTGGCATGTGCACTAATCACCTCAATTTATAACTTGAATCTGTTTTAGACTAAAATGACTAATGACACTCTTATGTTAAAAATCATGATATCGGATTATTAATGTTTCTCTTTTGTTAATTATGATTAGTTTACCAGTTATGGAAGTGTAAAGAGAAAATGAAAAACCGTCAAGGTTTGCAAACTTTGAAGATGGCGTTATCAATTTTCCTCATGATGCCACCACTATTCAAAATAGACGACATATCTGGTTTCTATTCTTCTTCCAACTTTATCTATGCATTATATTCATCTATGAATTATGTTCTCTTTCAAC